AACCGTCTTTCGATTGGGCCTAGAATTAGGATTCAACTTGAATAAATAGGTTGAGTCGCCACCAATCATTTATTTTGAAACAAATGGGTTGATCGGATACCTTATTTCTTACTTGATCTGAGCCTTACCAAAGATGTGTCGGATTCGGGAATCGGTTACAGTCAAGGAAGGGTTAGCACCCTTGAACTGCCTTTTAGGTACTACGTAATTTACAGTTTTCTTTAATTAATAAAATTGAAAGTTAAAATAAAAAGGTAACATTTGATCCTGATTACTTACCTCTGATCGGTTTTTAAAGTGTACCCTTAAAAGATAGAAATATAGTGAAGTACATAATCGAATTAAGATATAAAGAATGTAAATAGGAAAATAATGAATAAAACAGAAAAGAATAATAAAATAACTAAGAATGAAAATAAAACAAATTAAATAAAATGGGAACACAAATAAAAAAAAAATAAAAAAAAATAAGAAATAAAAATAAAACAACAGTAAAATAGAAAAAAATGGAATTAAATAAAACAAATAAAACAACAACAAAAATAAGACAAATAAGGCAAAAACAAATAATATATATATGTATAATTTAATGGTTAATAAAACAAGTAAAAAAATATAATAAAAGAATAATAAATATATATATATATATTAAATACTTGGTAAAATAAAATAAAAAAAATAAAATAAAAAAAAGGATATATGTATATCTGTATATGTATAAATAAAATATTAAAGAAAAATAATAATGATAAGAAATTAAATAGGAATAAAATAAACAATAAAAAATATAATAATAAAAAATAATCGTAAAAGGACCAAATTGAAAGTGAAATAAAATAGGGGTCCAATTTTAAAATGACTCGAAGATGAAATAGGATTTTAGGGTGCCAAATAGATTTTACAACAGTATGAGGGACCAAAATGGGAATTGTCCCATTATCGCGCAAAAACGCGCAGATCCTCCCTAGGTCAGGGTCGACGCGCGGGTCACCAGGCGGGTCAATAGGTCAAGTATTTAAGCCAAAGTTTTTTTAAAATGTCTCATTTCTATCGTTTTCAAACCAAAAACTTGCCCCATTTATGTTTCTCTCAATTATTCTTCCTCACGAAGAACAAAGGCCGGGTTTTCTAGAAGCTGACCACCGCGCCGCCTTGTCAGCCACCGTCATCGGCGACAATTTTTTTTTCTTTTTCTTTTTAAAATTCGAAAGCCTTTTACCTTTTTTTAAAAAAAAATCAAAATTTTTAAAAAAAAAAAGAATATGCCTCGGGGGTAGATCTAGGTTCGAAGATCTTGAAAAATACCCCCGTTCATCGACTATTTGGGTTCTCTCTTAAACCGAAAGCAAAATAGTGCCACATGCAAACCAAAGAAAAACAAAAAGCAAGGTAAGAAAAGAAAAGAAAAAAAATACTTTTATTTTGCTTCGAAACTTGTTACAAAATAACTATAATACTCTTGTATTTGCTTGTATTTTCGTGGTATTTTTCGTGCGTAACCCCTTGTGTAATATGCGTAGTGTGTAAATCGTAGTGATATTACATGTGATTTATAATGCTTTACAAAGCCTATTTTTAGGTGTTTAAATCCTACTAAAACACTGATGTTGTGGTTCGTTGGTGATGCTTGCGAGATCCCTGCGTCAGACGGTTCGGTGTTGACCGAAGGATTTGGTCATTTTGTTCGTGCAGCAAGGAGTCCTCAAGTAGCGCCTAAAGGGAACACAGGGTTTATGAAAGAGAAAATAACCTCAGTGACCAAAAATGCCTTATAATATACGATTTTAACCAACTTTTTTTGGATTTGCCAAAATGACCAACTAAATCGCAATGCGATCGATAATTCGCAACGCGATCTCCGATATCGTAAATCAGTTTCCAAATTCGCAACGCGAACTTCGACTATCGCATTGCGATTTACATATTCTCATTGCGATAGCCGAAGTTTGCGTTGCGATTTATTCCAAGTTCGTTGCGATAGTCGAAGTTCGCGTTGCGATTTATTCCAAATTCGTTGCGATATTCCAAGTTCGCGTTGCGATTTATTCTAAGTTCGTTGCGATAGTCGAAGTTCATGTTGCGATTTATTCCAAATTCGTTGCGATAGGCCAAGTTCGTTGCGATTTATTCCAAATTCGTTGTATTTGTTTCTTAAGAATTTTCTCTAAAAAAATAGTATTCGCGCGGACGTGTCGAAGACACGTATTACCACGACCACGACCACAACCCGACCCGAGATGAGACGGACGGCGGCAGCGGCGGCGCGCGAGAGTCTCCCTTGTTCTCTATCACTCAACAAGGAAGTGGGAAAGCCAAGCCTTAAATACCATTCCCAATAGTATTTCCAATACTATGTGGGATTGAACATTATCAACACTTGTTCTCAATACTATGTGGGATTGAGCCTTAAATAGTGATATTATTTTTGAATGTTTTGCTTAAAATTGCAATAATCGCGATTGATTGTAGATTGACTTTTGATTATGACATATTTAATCGTATAATACTAATGCAATTGGTTGCTGATTCAGTTGTTTTAAGGTGCATGATTGTTAATTGTTTCCTGAATAATCACATTGTATTGGAAACAAGTGTTGGTAATGCTCAATCCCACATAGTATTGGAAACACTATTGGGAATGGTATTTAAGGCTTGGCTTTCCCACTTCCTTGTTGAGTGATAGAGAATAAGGGGGACTCTCGCGCGCCGCCGCTGCCGCCGTCCGTCTCGTCTCGTCTCGGGTCCTGGTCGTGGTAATACGTGTCTTCGACAAGTCCGCGCGAATACTATCTTTTTAAAGAAAATTCTTAAGAAACAAATGCAATACCACCAGTCGTTGCGATTTTGGACTATCGCAACGAATTTGGAATAAATCGCAATGCGAACTTGGACTATCGCAATGTGAATATGTAAATCGTAATGCGATAGTCGAAGTTTGCGTTGCGATAGTCGAATTTGGAATAAATCGCAATGCGAACTTCGACTATCGCAATGCAAACTTGGACTATCGCAATGCGAACTTCGACTATCGCATTGCGATTTACATATTCGCATTGCGATAGTCGAAGTTCGCGTTGCGAATCTGGAAATTGATTTGCGATACCGGAGATCGCATTGCGAATTATCGATCGCATTGCGATTTAGTTGGTCATTTTGGCAAATCCAAAAAAAGTTGGTTAAAATTGTATATTATAAGGTATTTTTGGTCACTGAGGTTATTTTCTCTTTATGAAAACCCTATCATCGGTTCGGGTTACAGATCTGGACCCGGTTCGCGTTCGGGTCTCCACTGGATCTGGTTCAAGGCTCCAAGTTTGCTTCAGCGGATCGTGTGTTGTTGGGTCTCTACTGGGCGTTATTTGTGTAATGGGTAACTGTTGTAGGTCACCGGGTTTGGGCCTGAGCCTGTAATAAAATAAATGATGAATATTTAATTATATAATATAACTTGTAATATTATATAATATAAAAACGGATAAAATTTGATGTCTTCACTAATAATTAAAGATTAGATGAAAGATATAAGTGAGTGATTCAAAGCTCACCCTATACAACAAAAGTGGGGTTATCTGTCTGTCAATCTATCTATTTATCTCAGGGTACTATATTTATTTATTTTTTGCTTTTTTGTGTGTGTTTGTATAAGGTAGTTGTCCTTGTTAACTTAACTCATCGTCTTCATTTTTATGTATGAAAAGCTGTATTAAGGGGGAATGTACTAAGTTCTCCAGAAAAGTAGATAATATTTAATGTGTTAGAAAATTTATTAAAATTATTTTAATATGAGAAAAAAAGGAAATTTACATATCTAAATGTTATAATAGAAAAAAAATTTAAACCCATTTTAAAATTTTAAAATTTATATAATTTGATTATTATTTAAAAAATATAATTAGGTTAGATTTTTCATCAATTCATAATTAATTCATTACACATAACTAAACATAATATCTATTATACGTCAAATAATATGATTCTTATAAACCATAAATCGAAATATTCACTTATTATTATTTTAAAATATAATGACCTTATAATTTATCTTCCGACTATATGATACTATTTTGTTGAATCCTTTAACTATTAAAAGTTGTAAAATAATATTTCAATTATAAGATGTTATTTTTGTTAAATCTCATGACTAATAAAAGTTACAAAATGATTAATTTACTATTCATATATTCTAAATTCACCATTTTTCGTTAAAAACTTGATAGTCATCTAAGCTGGACATTAACCTACTGACTTATATATAATAAAATTTTATTTAATGATGTCTATTATTATTGTCATTGCTTTTAAATATTGACTCAACAACATAATGTTTCAAACATTTACTCAACGATATAATATAAATAAAGAATCGATTTATAAAATACAACTCAAACAATTTCAAAATCATATTTTATCATATCCCAATGAACACGTCCAACTCAAGTAAAAGTCAATTTTTTATTAGGAAAAAAATGTATATGAAACATATGAATATCCAAATAAATTTTTATAGTTTTTTAAAAAATAAATATTTTATAATTTTTAATAATCAAATTATCCACAAATATTTTACCATACAGTGTTTGGTTTTAGTTGCTCAAATGACAATGTGGTTGTCAGCTAAACAACCTGGAGCTGTGCCCCCATCAAATTGAACTTTTTTACAACAACAAAAAACAATTATTTAAATCGTTATGGGTGTAACTTCCCCTAAATAATTTTCTGAATAGTGATTTTTGAGTAAAAAAAAACCTTTAAACTATCGTTTTAGCCAGTTTGGTTTTCACTACCACATGAGGATTCAGCTGAGCAATTGCAGAATGCTTGCTTGTTTGATTAACCCAATAAAGGACGCAACCCCTTTTGGGACAAATCACAATTTTAATAGTATACATGACAATTTATAACAATTACACATTTGACGCTTGACTCTATTTCATGTTTCATGCACGCGTCTCTTGCATCAGTTGTACAAAAACAAGCTCTTGATAATGGGGGGGGGGGCGCTCGAACGGTTGTTGCTGTACAAGCATAACTCCCAAGTTAAGGCAGTTTGAAAGCTATAATGCAAACACAACAGCATCTGACTTGCATCAAACCACTTACCTTAATGCCACCATTTTATTGCAGTTTTGTCTACACCCGCTTTTCCGGCTGTCGGCACGACACAATGTGCCCCCGAAAGAAGCTGAAGACATGGAGGACACATAATACACCGATGTGTAAGTCACAATCTATGTGGTCTAGATTATCAGTAAGTTTTCTTTTGCTTTTGTAGAGAGTACCAAAACACTTGAATTACTTCCAATACTGTCATGATCAAAGTTGACCGATTGGTTTCAAGGTGAACCCACAAAAAACATTTACAATCATCAGGTGGCTTAAGATTCATAAAATGCTGACCCCATTCTCCGACGTCACTTCGAACGAATGATGCCAATTTATTGTTCTCTGTCGGCAGTATCCGTGAAGTAAGCAGTTATCCCCTTCAACTTGCCATTCAAAAAGCTTTTCTCAACCTAAAGATCATAGACATTTGCCTTAAGCAGCAAGAAGATAAAGATTGAAAAGCAGACTGTAAAGCTAGTTCAAAAATTAGCTAGCTAGTACAGGACTATAACAATTAATATGATATGCAGCTTTCACAAAACTAGAATTGAAAAGGATAACCGGGTACAAAAGGTAGAAATCATCATTAACAAACAGACTTGCATATGAAAAGGTAGAATTGAAAAGTATTGTTGTTGTTATATATTTGAGGGGCTGTTCGGGATTAAACTTGCCCACTAGAACAAAAACCTCAGGCACTCTACTAGCATTCCACACTGTTGTCATTTACTATCTAGTAGCCTAAAATTTATGGGCCCAACTTATTCTTAGGTATTGATCATTAAGAAAATTTGACCCTAAGAAACAAATGTAAGATCATACCTTTCACAAACCAAGTATCATGATTTTGGAGGGAGCTCTAGTCAACATATATATATTTCTAATTAACACATCGACAATCAGCCACTTACAAGAACAATATGGCATCTTGAATTGGAAAAATGACTTTCACTGCAGCCTACTAAGTGTGTGTGTGTAAACATATAAATCTCAATAAAGTTCACTAATGAATTCAATTTAAGATTACCTCTAATGACAATGAAGGCTGTGCAGACAGAGCCATTTCCGCCAATTGGTTGAGATCTACATTTCTAGGGAGAAACATGACAATTCTGGACCCAATTTTCTTTGCAACATTAAACAGGAAATATCTGCAGAAGTGTAACGAAAATGGAATCAAGACAACTATTAAGAAGCACCAAAAACAAAATTTAAATATTAGCACAGTGGGAAACACTTTGGTAGCAGAGAAAAAAGGTACCCATCATGTGGCCTCAGCATTGTCTTCAGGTCATATATCTCCACTTTAGCATAATCAGGACCCCCCCAAGGAGGTGATAAGAAGACCGTGTCTGCCTACAGCACCAGATACATGGATGTCAAAAGTTATTAGACAAGTAAAAAGAAGGCGAAACAAATACATGGGATAAAAGGATGGTTGTTTTGCTGGACAGAATAAATTGTCATATACAGTAAGAACTAAAAGTATAATGTACAATAAACCAAGACCAGTACCTTTAGCTTAGGTGCCAGAGTGAAAAAATCTCCAATTACAAAATCTATATGGTCAATGACACCATATACAGCTGCATTATGATATGCATAATCAATCTTCTTCGGATCAATATCAATAGCAATGACGTGTGCACTCCTGAAGAATCACATGTTACAAGAAAATTTTGGACATAACATCAGAGCACAAAACCAATTGGAAATAAGAGTTTCAGTAGCACATACCTCTGGGCCAATTGAATGGCATTCCCCCCAACTCCAGTAAAAGAGTCAACAACAATGCCACTCCCACAACGGGATGCATGATGCCTAGCAATAAGCTCTGGAGTAACAGAAAACCATCCTTCCTCATCCATTTCAATACCGTCATTGAATCTGGAGAATAGTAGATATCTCTGACACCAATATTTACCAATAATAGCAGAATACTCCTCAGACATTCCCTGGAATTGAAGTTCTGTACATAGGAACAACAATTCAAATTCTAATCCCAACTAAAAGAAAAATTTATGCGAAGGCTAAAACAAGTTCAATATAGCAAGAACAAAAGTTGAATTATAGACCTTCATCCCGAGACAATTTCCTCGGAGATCGTCGTCTTGTTTTCTTTTTCCCTTTACTAGTAGCAGCCACGAGTAGGGTATCCACCTGGTCTGTTGCTAAAGCAATGGTTTCTAAAGCAATATCATCAGCATCACATATTGTTTCAGTGAGTGTCTTGGTCAAACTGAAAGCAAACATAAATGTCAGGAACCTAGAAATGGACACAATTAAGAGCATGCTCATTTTAGAATCCAAAATTAACTAGGACTTATCGACTTTGGATTTATATGGTTATCAGTTTATGTGTGCACAAAAAAAAATAGATGTTTCATATCTGCAATGATAACTAAACTGTTGAAAGCATGTTCCTCAGCCTTTATAAATATAAATGAAGCTGCAAAATTTCAGTTTTACAAGATAATGCAGTGAAATGAGATTTTCAGAAAACAACTGCTGATCTACATTAAACCCAAAACTTAAGTGCGTTAAAAGGAGGAAATAGTAACCTGTCAAGATTATCCTGAACATCTGATATTAAGTTTAATATAGCTTCACCATCACCATCACAACCACCACTGGTCTCGCAATTTTCACCTGCAAGCTCAAAACTCTTGCTTGCAGAAGGGGTTGTCAAGCTCGAAGCAGAAGCAAGTTCGGTTCCAATTGAAAGCTCATCAGACAGCAGTTTTTCTGATCCACCATCACGTATGGATTTCTGAATGGAGTCGGTAGCCACTTCATCTGACTTAAGGTTATCAAATACTAGATTTTCCATGCCTTCGGGTGGGTCCCATGTAGAAGCTTGAGTTTTAATATTATAGAAGTAGTTCCTCAAGTAGAAAGTATCCCAGTACACCCTCCAATCACCACCATATGTCTGGTCATTACAATCATAATCGAGCACTTCCGTATTTGTTGAACGTGACTCCGGAACAAGCAGCTGCTGAGTGCTGCTATTATAAACCTTATCAACCTTTTCATTGCAGTGAGTCCCAGAGGAACCTTCAAAACATTGATGCTCCATCAAGGTTCGCTCATCATTGTTATTAAAATGGTCAACACCTGCTCCCATCAAGCAGCAATCTTGTATAAGTTCACCTAAACTAGTTGAGTTCACTGTATTTTTCTCACCATCCTTAGACATAATATCACTCTGCTGTGTGAAGTTATATTCCTGACCATCATTAGTTACAAGGTCAGGAATTTCATTACAGTTTTGTTCCATGGCAGAGCCACAAATCGTCCCAGACAAGCTTGCTGAATCTTCTTGATTATGATTGTTGCATAGAGATCCATCAACAGCCATTTCAACATCATGATAGGATAATTGACTTCGACCCAGCATTGACATGCAAGAAAAAGAACTGCTTGAATTATCATAAAAAATAGAAGGAGATTCAATCTCCATCTCACTCACTTCGGAAATTTCCAGCGCTTCTTCAGTGTCATTATGACCACTAGAACTCTTTGGACGTGTACCCTTCTTTCTTCTTGAAGTCATTTTACTCCTTGTCTGCCAGAAAACTAAAATCATCAATAGGCCTCTTTAAAGAAGTAAAGACCATTGCCAACTTCAAAGATATGTCTTCTAATTACATCAAACAAATACTTACCAATTTTCCTAAAACTTCAAATTATTCAAGCACTCATGAAAACTATATCAAGGATAGGGGGAAAATACACTGATTTAATATCTATCTGCAACAAAATAGTCAGAAATAAAGGTACTAGGAGTATTTTGAATTTACCTGCTTGTTGGTCTGGAAGGACAGTGGAAGGCCCAACGCATCCATTTCTTTAGCCAGTTCAATATCATCTGGTGAAAGGCTGAAATCTGAACCAACCATGAAACAGACCCAAAGAAAAGAAGGCATCGATCAATAAAACACTTAAGATATACAGCAACATCCAAATTATACCTCACTACCAATACAAATAACTAAAACTAACACCAAGAAAGCTAGAAAAAAGTTCAAAATAAATTGCAGAGCACTTGCCACAGGTCGCGCGAAAAGTTCTTGAGCGGTTCTTATCGTTTTCTCCAGACGATTTCTGCATTTAAACAATAAGAAACATATAAAAGGGTGACTCCAAAAAGAAATTAAAAGAAAGAAAATAATTAGAGAAGAGAATTACAGTGCTGTCGGATAAGAAAGAAAAATCCCGAGTCTCCTTAGAACCATCGTCCCTGCACAAGCAAAGATGGGGTTCAGTTGAGGTTAACTAAAGTCTTACTAATTCCGTTCTAACTATCAGCATTAAAAAAAGGTAAAAAGGAGGGAGAGAAGTAAACCATAAGTGGACTTCCGTGAGGTTGAAGAGAGGACCCAAAGCTTTGATGAATGGAGCTTCGCTTTGGTTTTCGCCTGTGTCCATTTCGTACGAGATTAGGGTGCCCAAAATTTCCCGCTTCTCAGGTTGGCTTGTAAATTTTATAGCACGCCGACTCCAACATAGCACCATACGACGCTATGTTTTTATTTATATAGTAGATTTATAATTGGTTTTAACTTTTCTTGATTTTCTTTTTAATTTCTTTCTTGCACCTTTACCTCCTGAATAATTTTTTTTCTAAGAAAAATATTATATTGTTTTATATGGAAACTGCAGTATGCTTTTTTAAAACAGAAATGCAAGATTAATTAACGTTGTTAACAATTATTTAATTTTGACGAACATTTATATTTGACGACAGAACCGACATTAAGACTTGTTTCCTTTGAAATTATCCTCAAACTTTGAAAATGAAATTTATTTCTATATACGAGTTTATATGCTTTTTAAAAAAACAAACATGGCTTGCTAGGATCATGGCAATCACCTGCCGTAATTCCCAATTGATCTGCAATAAGAAATAAGGCAAATTATGTATTTAGTTACCCAGTTATTTTTGTAATTTTATTTTGATTTTGATCTCTAATTATTTCTTTTTCAAAATTATATCTAATATTATATTTTGATTTTGTATTAATCACCGGCCGCTACAAAATTAATGATGATGCTAACGGGTCATCATAAGATAATAACACATCATTAAAAAAATAAGAAAAATTATCACATCAACAATTTTATTTATTTTTTAACGAGTGATCAAAACGTAACGTTAGATGTGATTTTGAAAAAAAAATAGATGACAAAAATGAAACTGCTGAAATAAGTGGGTGACTAAATATGTAGTTTACCCTAAGAAATATTAGCTACCGATACGTTTCGGAGATATAATCCAAATTGTGTAGCTAGATTTCTACACATTGAAACCCGACTCTATTACCGGTATAAGGCCATAGCTGAGGCCCCAAAGTTCAGCTCGAAGTGCTATTGTCCAAGCAATCACCGTGATATCCTCGTAGAAAATTTGGTTACCTTATGAGATGGGCCATCCTCACAAATAGGATACCACTCAAGGATAGTGGTACAATAGTTGCATTCATTTGGAAAAAGAGGAGCTCTATTACCATGTTCTTCGTTTGCTGGTTCAAGATGTGCCCAATATCCAATCTTTTGGAACTGGTTACACAGTCTCCTCTTTCTTTGAGTTCATTTTACGAGTACACACACTGATATCTATGATCCATCCACCATTAACAAGGTACTCCAACAAAAAGACCATCTGATGACAGAGATTTACATCTGGACATCAACTATTAACAATCTACATTCGTCGCCCCTTGCTTACGCTCGAGCTCACTTCTTAAATAACAACAATAACAAGTACTGCAGCAGTTCGGTAGCCAAAGCGATGCTGTAAGATAGATAGTGAACAAAGCAGCAAAGAAAGATTGCAAATTCCTATTCCTAGACAGAAGTACCATGAATTAAGGATAAATGCACATTTGCTACCAGACAAGCCATTCAGCAGAACTGGTGTATAATATGTTTTTTCTCGAAACTATGTCCAGCATTGAATTTTTAAGAATTTTCAATAATTGCTTTAATTTCTACAATGTTATTTAAGCTAATAAATATGACATAATACAAACAAGGACAAAATTCAAAAGATCTTCAGGACAAAATGACATAAAGTGGTTGACCAGTTCAGAGTATTACCCTCATTAACCACCAGGTCCACCACGTCTACGCCGTCGAAAATGTCTGAGAATGAAGCTGTCTGCATATAGAGGATAGTTTTTCCTGATCAGGCCCTTGATGCATTTCCAATAGGAAAAGTCAACCAGTTCTCCATCTTTTCGAACTATGAACAAACATCTTGAGCCCACAAAGTCGGGATGGTAACCAACCTGTGAACCAATAGGAGAAGCATTGATCATTTATTTAATCAAGAATAAGTAACCAAATAGGCCACAATACCATTTTATTTAACAAGTGTAAATCCTAAAATCAATTTTTAGTTGATTAAGAGGCCTCCTTTCTCTTTAGCTAATTGCCCCCATAGTTTTGCATGTTTGAGAAGTGAATATGACAAGGCTATTGGACTGCAGTGATCTGTTCAAGTTGAAATGCTAACCGTGTTCATGTTAATGGAAAGAGCAAGAGAAACTGAACAAGTGCTGTGGGACAAAGAATTCAGTCAATGGCTAGATACAAAATTTGATTCATAATTGAATAGGTTGTTCCAAAAAGAAAAAAGGTGAGAAAGCAAATATAAAAGCACAAACATTTTCCGCATGTCTGAACATAAGAAAACTAACGAATATTCTCATATAACCTGAAAATAACTCTGAAGCAGACCCAAACATATGTCAGATCAGGTTAGGTGTGCTACAAGTAGCACAGCCCACGATCACCTCTATTCCAAAGGTATTAAAATGTGATGGATGAAAATAGTTTCAGTATGATTTCATCAAGAAATGTGTAAAGCTAAGAAGGAAATGAGATTATAGAAAACAGCTGTTTAAGTTAAGATCTACATAGATGAGACTGGAAAACTAAAGGAGAATCCCTTGTCAGTATAAAATGCCAACATCCAGACTAGATAGTAGAAATTCCAATGATATTTAGCTTATTTAGCTTCTAACGTTTCTAACTAAAAGTCTAAAACTAGGCTTGAACACGAAATAATGTACAATCGAACATGCAGTTAGGTGTTGAGCAAGCACAATTGTTCTCTATTTTGCATCCATAGTAACTGCTAGCTAACAAGGCAAATGTTCACCTCCGACTAACACTAAAAATGCAGTCAGAATCCAAAGAAAGGAAATACCATAACATACTTAAATTTGTTAGCTATGTAAGTGATAGGAATGATGTTTTATCTTCAAATATATAGAAAGACTCAAAAATAAACTAAGTATTCTACACCAAGCATGTTTTTGGTTAGTTCAAACTTTCAATAATAATAAATTCCAGCGATCAAAATTCAAAAAAGCAAAAGAAACATACAGTAATATAATCAATTCCACATCCAATTTTCTTCTCGAACTCTGGATGGTAAGGAAGCAACCTCTCCAGAATCATCCTTTCATGCTCTGGATTCAATCTATCTCCACTTCCATATCTGGAATACTTAATTCTGATTTAGCACAACTGAATTCGATAAAATATAAAGACGAGAAAACTAAATAACGTACTTTCCAGAATGAATAATCATTCTAACGAAGCCAACAAGAGGGACAGTGTCTTCTAAAATCCTATCTTCCCAATCAATCTGTTCACTTCTATTTCTTTTTACCTCACTACCCTCATCGTCTTCCGAAATTCCACCGCTGTCCTTCGCCGGCACTATACTCGGCTTCCTTAAGAAATCGGAACCGTAATCCTGGCTTCCGATTTTTCCGCCGCCGGAACAGGTCCTCAAGGCTTTAAACCGAAGTTGAAACGATGCCGTTTTAAGGAAATGAAAAGATAAGGTCACTGGGGAGGAAGAGACAGGGTTAGGAATTGAGTTACGGTGAAAGTAGGGCGGCGGCTTGGGAATTGAAGCCATGGTGAGCTCAGTGAGTTAGCGAGTTCGGAAGTAGTTGAAGAAAGAATGGGAGGAGTTACCCGTCACATTATCAAGGTTGAGGGAAAATATGAAGAACGTTTCGCCATTGGAAGGGAAAATTTTAGCTGATAGATAACAGAAGTGAGAGCGCCTCTTTGTTTAGCTATGCGCCTTTTATTTATTTTCTTACTTGGGCCCGTTAAGGCCCAACTTCTGGCTATTAAGCTTTCCACGTTTGTGATTGTATTTGCTTGGTTCCACTTTGTGACACAGGCCGAATGGTAGAAGAATATGAAGAATAACACTCCATATTCTGAATCTGTTAAAGCCTGGTAACAGACACATGCAAAATTTTACGTTAGAAATGGTAAATTTATAAAATTTTAGAATGTATAAATATATTTTAATAAAATATATATATATATATATATATATAAGAATTTGAAATTTTTAAAATACACAGTCTCTCCCCATTCTTTCTAGATATATCCCTTAATTTGTATCACTAAGTCTGAGTTGACCTAGATAAAAATCGTTACTTACACTGCCGGTCGATATTTTTATATTATTTTTTTCAACTTCAACCCTCGATATTTTAGAACTTTGCATTTTTCAAAATAGAATATTCTGAATCTATTTTGAGGAAGGCAATCCAAATCCAATGCAGCCTTGCTGCCCCACAAATCGATCTACTAATGACATCTTAAATCGGGGGGTCGCTCGAATTGCTTTTCCCCCATGGTTTAAGCAAATTTGAACGACAAAAATCCAACACACTGATGCTAAAACCATAAATTTATAAGCATCTAATCATATTATTAATGGCAAAAATATTGAAATAATCACTTTTGTTCATTGATTATGTTACATGTTTATAACTTTTTAGTCACTTGCATTATCGATTTATGATGTTTTGGTTACTAGACGTGACATTTATTAAAAGAGATTAATTTTTAATGACATGACATTTAAAAGAGATTAACTTTTATTTTGACCATTATTTTTTAGATAAAATATTAATATAACACCTAAATTTTATATAAAATATCAATTTAAACCTTAAAATGTAGATAAAATGTTAATTTAACTCATGAACCCGATCATCGTCCCTTATTGTCGTCGTTCACCACCATCGATACTCATTGCCAACCACCTTTCAAATTTACTCACTTGACTCCTAAATGCGAATCCAACTTCATCGAAAATTACCAAGAAATAAAAAATATATAGTATATAACCCTTGACTCTTTTAAAATTAAAATTATAATGATAAAATTATTCGTAAATATTTTTTTTTAAATAAGGGCATGAGAAATCTAAATCTATATCACATCAATTTCATATTTTTTTAGTAAACATATCTATGAATTTGATTATGATATAGATTTAAATCTTTGGTATCCTTATTTTGAAGAAATATTAATCATAAATTTATTGTTAGGGTTTAATATTTTTTAAAAAAAAAGTATAGGGTTCTATGTTTGATTTGTGGGCTTCAGGGTATTTTTCGATGAAATAAACATTAGATTCACGTTCAAAAGGTCAAAAAAAAAGAGAATGTTGTTCTCCTTTAACATTTCAAGTTTGAGTAGCCATGTTTGCAGAGTATATGTGCGTTATCAATAACTAATAAAGATTTTGAACTTATACTACCTTATAATTACACAGTTTATTAAAAAAGTTCAAAAAGATAGAATTGAAAATTTTAAGGTCCATTAGTCTTCAGTGACGATGATTAGTGGCGATCGATTGTGATTAGTAACTGTGGCAAGCGGTGACGAGAGACTTTGATCAAATTCATTTGTTACATTAATATTTCATCTAAAATTTAGGGGTTAAATTGATAATTCGTCTAAAGTTTAAGGATTATAAAGTGTAATGGTCAATTTAAAAATTAATCCTTTTTATTAACCTATCATATATCAAACTAACAACACTTAATGTCTCATGTCTCATTTTGACTAAAATGTTATAAATTGATAATGCAAGTGACAAAATTTACAAATGGATAATATAAGTGATCAAAATGTTACTTCTTTAAATTCAATGAACAACAATAAGCACTTATAAAACGGGAGGATCTGTTTCAATAGTTTACCCAAATATTAAAACTTACAGGATAATTTTGCCTCGATTAAATGCCGTCCCACAATAAGAATCCTCATGACGTGTCGACGTTACATTGAAGCATTTTGAGTTTGACGCACTCAACACATGAGATCAGCCAGAACCGGCCCATGTCGGATGAGGATGCATGCCGACTTGGGAATTGAGATCTACCCTACCAAAATTCATTCCCCCACTCGCCTAACCTATACGCGTCTACGTCAACCTCCATTGACCTCCACTCTACTACAATTTTCTTTTTCTTTTCAAATTCAACGAAAACATCCATGTTTTATAAATTAAGTCATTGATTAGATCAATAAAATGTTTAATTATCGTTTTAATTGATTCAACGGTGTTAAAATAACACAGCAATTGTTTTTATTAAATACATTCTACTTTTAAAGAAGAATTAAATATGGTTATACTTAATAAAATAGATATTAATTTGTTTATCTATGGTAAAATTAAATTCAAATTTAATATCATCCAATATTTTATTTTAATATAAATTCTTTATTATCATACTACGAGTTTGATTAATATTATTTTTTAAAAAGAAATATTAAATTTTGTATTTTGAAAAATGAAAATAATTATAATTTTTTTTTATTTTATATCAATTTAATTAATTTTGAATTGATTTTAATTATTTTCAATATAATATATATATATGTATAATCTAATATATATTGAATTTTTATTTAATCAATTAATCTAATTTAATTTTTGTAAAAGGTTAGAAGATCCCCACCACCACAATTTGTTATTTTCAGCTTTTTTATATAAATATTATTTATTTAATTTTTTTAATAATATTTTTTTTTGAAAGATGGTACTTTGTATTATATGAATTACAAAATACACCACCTCAAGGATCTCATTAAAAAGCCTCTCTAATCCTAAATGGAGGAAAAATAGTGTACCTTGAAGTGGTAAAGATCAAATAACCATATCACTCTTACATAAAACAATCCATACACCATTCCATCAACAAACCCCATTCTAGCATTAAAAAAACTCAACACATACAACCCAATTAGTTACGATGGGTAGTAGATAAAAACATACAAAAACTGGCAACACCACAGGAAATGCACATAAAACAGCAGTATCATGTCTCAGCAAACCTGGGAAAAACAACACAACAACAGCTCTATACAGCACCGTGAAAATACTAACAACACGATTAAGCCTCACTTGAAGACTTAAGCAGATAACAGAAAGAGCAGAACACTCCATGAGTAGAAAGGGTCCGAACCTCAAACAAAAGCATGAACAGAACACTTTAACATGTTACAGAACCTGTTCACAAAGAAAGATCTATATATCGCCATAATGAAATAGAAAAGAGGAAGTGATCCATGCAAGCAAACCCGAGAAGATTGATAAACCTGAAAACACTATCAACACACGCCTAAAGTGATCGACTGCGAACTTCACACAAAATCTTGAACGACCGGAATCAACGTTGGCCATAAAGCACTCACCCAAACCCCAATCTGAATCAAAACTGTGTTAAAAATTTGATCCACAGAAACAACAATACCCTTCAAACCTAACTTTGTTTCTGTACAACCAAATATTCCCAATCAGACCAAAAAATCCCAATTCCCATAGCTGCCGAATTTTCCTTCTGATTTTCTGATGGAACCAAACCTCAAGCAACCCTTTAACCTACGTAGGGAATACTAAATTAACCTTCCAAACACTACACCATAGTTGCCACACTTTCCACACCACATCACAATGACACAAAACGTGATCAACTGATTCCTGATCGCGATTACAAAAAACATAAAGAGGTTGAACATTGCAATGTATACCTCTTTTTTCCAGCTCTATGATGACCGACAACCTTTGTTAAACTGCTCTCCAGACAAATGAAGAAACTTTAGGAGGAGCGAACTTATACCACACAAATCTCCAAATTTTAAATAAATATTCTTTTATACAAAGTAAAAAAAATATTACGTGAGAAGTACTTTTGAAAACGTATCCTATAATATATGTATTCTGCTTACGTGATGACAATAAAAATATATGTTGAATTAAAATAAAAAAAATGAAATTAATAAAATAAAAATTTTATAAATTTATACTAACAATCAATTGATCTTGTGTGATGATATATTTATGAAATAATGTCTGAGGTTCGAGTTCTTACGTTTGTAAATAGAACAAATTTAATTGAGAAGATTGTCATCGTCTCTATAATATTCGATCTAAATTAATCGATTAATAGATCGAATATAGAATGTTATACCAAAAAATATATAAATTTATCTAAAAACACCAAACGGGCGCAACAATTTAATAAATAACCATACACAAAAGGAAAAAACGAATTGGCTAAAAAAGCCGTCGTTTTCCCTACTTGGCAAACAGCCACCACGATTTGTCAAATTGCCGATTCATTTCACCGTTGAATTAATATCAAAGCGCGTACATATCACGCTGGAAAAAATCTTAGAAACTCTCCGCGACTTTCGTGTCTTATAGATCTCCGCCGACACAGCAGGCCGTAGCCAGTTCAGAAAAAATCATGTTTTCTACTACTTTTATCATTCTGGCTTCGATCTGAAAATGAAAAAATTAATAAATTAAAAACGTTTTCATTATTCAGGTTCGTAGTCCATACGAGGAAAACGACGGATTTGAGAACACTCAATTCATGGTAAAAAAACATTAGAATGTGAATTCCAAAGTCCAAACAGAAGGATACATTAGCAGTTTTAGACTTTGCAATACAAAGCCGTTCATAAGTATTTATAGTTTTAGAATAACCTGGCGCGCGCCAAGGCCCTCGCTCACGCGTCAACGTTTGCCAGTTCATTTTTAAATTTAGTTTTAATTATTATTTTTTTAATCTTCTTTGAGTCATTTTCGCAAAAAACTGACTGGTGACAGCTCTTAGATCTCTCCTCGATACTGCGACACCGATCAGACTTCATTTATCAGCCCCTTTTTTTGTATTTGAAATGGTTATTATTACTAGTATTTGATTTTTTCAATTGAAAGTTGAAGCT